ACCACTACCACTACCACTACTACTAGAGAGGAGCAGTACAGCAACGAGACGTTAACAGAGCACGACGGATGTTAATCAAGATGATGCCGATAATGTAAGTGATGGCGATCACGAGGAGTTGTAAGGTTTCTGTGAAATATGTGGCCATTGATGGTCATGGCGATGTTGTTGTTGATGATGATGATGATGGGGATGATGATGATGATGATGAGGACAGCGGTAATGGTGGCGGTGAACACGACAATCGCCACGTGGTGCTGGTAGCGATGATGGCAACTGACCACAACAAAACATCAGCGTATGAGCAAGCAAGTGTTTCCAGCGGCTAGCAGGTTTTTTTTAGCGAGAGTGACAGTAACGGGTCGCGGAGCGGTTGCAGGCATGGAGGACCTTCGCACCGTGGCCATGGAATATCAGCGCAGTCTCACCGAAAACTTGGATCAGTTCTATGTTGTGGAGACCTCAGAAACCAGAATCCGATATCTAAATTGCCATCGTGATTTCATGATTGCAGGTCGTGTCAGGACAGTACCTCAAGAAGATGAACCGAACGGATGATATCGCCTCCTGGGATGGCTGGGAGTTTTTCGTTCGCTCCAAGGACTCCTGCTGGTTGCGTGCAGTGCCGAGCATCGCATCACTTGCAAGGAGTATGCCTTTGCCTGCGTTCTTTTCAGAAGACAGTCCCATCTCTCAGACTTGTGCTGGGAGCAGTTGCCTTGGCGTTCCGCAATATTGCTCCAGGTACATTCCCCCGCTTTTCAGCACATGCCAGGACCGTTCTGCCTGTAGCACAGCACAGATACGTTAAAGGAGGTATACGCAAAGCTATTCCTGTGGCAGGAATGTGTTGAGTTTTACACCGGGTTTGCGGTGTGTCTTCGCATACATGTGCCGCAGACGCGGGCACAAGCAGCTTCTGTGAAGTGCCCGATGCATGATCATAGTCATAGAGGCGCACTTGGCACGAGCATGCTTTGTAAGACGCTTGACAGCCCAAGTTCTTGGTTGTTACCAGGCAAGGTCTCCCGTGCCATGACCCTGCCATGTGGGTTTGGGTCATCAGCCTGCTGCCTGCAGCAGCAGAGTGGCCTGCCAGGTGAGGTGTCAACCTGGGTAGCAGAGGTTGTCACGAAGGAAGTAGGAAGCAGATCGCATGCAGAAGTGACTAAGTGCAGTTGTGCTGCAGAAGCCTGACATTTGACTCATGCTGAGTCCGTGAGGGACATTAGAGCGTCACAGTGAGAAGGTGCCGGGTCTTCAACCCCGATTTCTTTGAGCGACTTGCCTGTCGAATGTTGCACCACCGCCTGTTGCCACCGACCGTCCGTTCCGACTTGGTTAAATTGACTGCCAAGGCAGGCAGAGAGAGACTTCCTACCATTCCATGGGCTCACGCCCTGGGACTCACAGCGAGCAAAAAACCTCTGCCGCTCGAGTGGGCAGGTCAGGCCTTAACCTGTCTTTTGCAGCACTCCAAAGCTTTTGCAGCACATTCCAGCTGGCATGTCGCGATCTGTTTTGGCAGGCATGCTTTGTTGTCCAGGTCCGAAACGGGCAGGCCACAACTGCACAGCCATGGTTCGCACATTCGGGGTTCCTCATGACAGGACTCGGGGTTGCACCAGGGCCTCTAGGGGAAGTTCTTGGACACGGACCGCCGGAGGTGTTTATTTCGGAGGAGCAGCCGGGCTTCCAGAGCCGAAACCGCCTCACAATGGCAACCTGCACGCAATCGGGTTTCTGCATCGAGTTGTGCTTGTAGCACGGAGCTTCAGTCTGTGATCATCTTGAGGCGATGCTCCATCGAGTTTCAACCAAATTCGGGCCTCTTCCAGATGCTGAATTTGCAACGACCTGAAGATTCGAAGGTACTGCAAGAAGGCCGGGGTGGGTCTGCCTCAACTGGGCGCAAGCGTGCTGAGGTCGTTGACACATCCGATGGCTATGCTGAGATCGCGGCGCCAATTTTCGTCATCTCTAAGTTCCCAGGGTCAGCAGGCAGTCGGAGAGCGCTGAGCTGAGAGGATCTCTGTGAGATTCGGAAGCTGCCTTCGGAGGTGGAATCCTGTATCCGGACTTCTCCTCCTATGCGTGGCCCGAGTCGGAGTGTCCCTCGGAGGCTCCTGGCTCCCATGTCTGGTCCCAAGTCCTGGCCAAGATGGCAGAGGCCCAAAACCGCCGTGTTCTGCACCGCCTCTTGCGGTCTCACATTCTCGCTTTCGCTTTGGCAGCACAGGTGCCGTCCTGGTCTGAGAAGACCGATTCCTTGTTCTGGCGGGGTGCCGCTACCTCGACGTATAGGACCCTACTTTTCCCGTGTTCCATGCAATTGGAATGGTGACGGGTTTTCACAAGGAGGCAGATCGTGCCCTTCCTGGCCTCTTTAGAGAAGTCTAACGTGTCCATGATGGAGTGGGTCATCGGCCCAGAAGGACAGCGACAGGCTGGGCTGTTGTGCTGGCTTGGTCTTCCTGGAAGGGGCTTGTGGGGATTCTCGTGGCAGGTAGTCAGCAGTGGCAGTGACAGCTGCATACCAATCCACGAATGGTGCCAGCACAAGCCATTCAGATACAATGGGCCGACGTAGTGTTCTGCCTGCCGTTGACAAGCTGTGCTTTCCAGGTTCCTGGCCAATCTACCTGGGAACACCATGGCTCTGGCTTTGAAGTACCGACTGTTTTGTGGCTCCGTGGTGCTGTCGAGCCCCTTCCTGTACCACGAGTGGTATTACTCGCAGCTCAAGGAGACTTGCAGGGGCAGACACTTCCCTATCGGGGTCGAAAGGGTTTCCTCGTCTTGTGCACAGTACCGGAAGGCTTTGCTCCTCCATCTGACTTTCCTTTCGAGTCATTGTGTTTTGCAGTGTAGAAGTTTGGCATGCGATTCCTGAGATCAGTCAGGAGAGTGAACACTTCATGGCGTTCGACCTCCGTTGGTCGGGGGCAGACGAAGTCTTGAAGGAGTTGCGGGGACCTTCGAAGGCCCTGGCAGAGGCCAACGAGACATGCTTGTATCAAGACAAGCTGCGAGAGCATACGACATTTTGTCTAACTGCGTTGCCTGCCCGTAGCATCAACGATGATGCCTCTATCGCGAATTGACTTGACCAGGCAGTCTCAATGAACGCAAGACGGTGGGCACAAGATCATCTCACCGACGACGGGTAGTTCGGCTTCAAACCTCTCCTGCGATTGTCAATGCAATGTGTCGCTCAGACAAGGTTTGACTGCTATTGGCTGCGCCTCATCCACCTTGCGAGCCGACACTTTCCGCATCCACAGCACACCTTACATGTGATTCCACTGGAAAGTGTGATGCTCGGAATGCGTCCGGCGCTTGGACCCAGACCTTCACTAACGACACCGAAGGGATCCGAAGGGATTGACAAGATGGATGCACCGTGCGGTATGTTTTACATTGGACTCTCTGACCCAGGCCCTGTGCAGTCTGCCAGCGTGGATGTCCTGATCGTGATTCCATCCCGAGCTGCGGATTACCAATTAATGGATCATGCCAGGCGATCCGAACCATGTGCAGGGGGTTCATCGGTTCATCAAGTGATGTCATAAGACATAAGATTCTCTCCGCGCCGGGCAGGAGCACGTGGCTTCGCAGCGGACACAAAGACGAGTCTCAGCTCGAGAGTTCGGATGTTCAGGAAGAGTCAAGGCGCACACAGCCAAGGGCGTAAGCCATCGTCATTTCTTCGTCATCGCCAGTGCCGATCCTGACTTTGAGCTGCTGCAGATCGGGGGCGTGTCGCCGCATGGTGCCTTCATTGCAAGAAGGCTTGCCACACCAGGACTTTGATGTCGCTAGACTCGGACCTTGTCCAACGATAGGTGAAGATGACGTGCTCGTGGTCGAGTGCAAGCATGGTTACACGCAGCTGCTGCAGAAAATGGTTGCGGCATATCGGACTTTGCTAGTGGCCTGGAAGCAAGCCACATGCTTGACTACATTCTACATTCGTGAGCCTTGGTATCGTACCCGACTGTTGTCGCTGTCCAAGGAACGATACACGGTAAAATTCTTCATACGTGCTGACGTCGATTCTATGCTTCCGCTGCAATTTCTCCTGCCGCTGCTTGACCATGCTGCGGCTGGACGATGCCTTGTCCTCCTGCGACTGGACGGACTAGTTTGGGCTACATGCATTACATTAAATTACATTACATTACATTACATTACATTATATTACATTATATTACATTATATTACATTATATTACATTATATTACAGTATATTACATTCTATTACTTTACATTACATTGCATGACATTGCAGTACATTACATTACATTACATTACATTGCATGACATTGTGTTACATTGCATTGCATTACATTGCATTACATTGCATTGCATTGCATTACATTGCATTACATTGCATTACATTGCATTACATTGCATTACATTGCATTACATTACATTGCATTACATGACCCTACGTACCTACCTATCTACATACATACATAGGTCCATACATCATAAGCACTTTTGTACATCCACATCGATCGCTCCATCCCTCCATCCCTCCCTCCCTACCTCCCTCCGTACGTCCGTCCGTCGCTCCGTCTGTCCGTACCTCCGTCCCTCCGTCCGTCCGTGCATGCAAGTGTGTATGCGTACACATATAGATACCAACACACACACACACACGCGCGCGCGCGCAAACACCAATGAATACATGAACGGAGCGATAGCTACAGCTGTGCGTACGATGTGCTAACTCCATCAGGAAATCATCATTGACAGATGTGGGACTTCATGGCAGGAGTTCGTCGTCCAAGAAGCCATCTTTTGTTGGGTACCGGCGACACACGAACGAGATGGTCGGCTCTGCTTGCTCCACAAAGAAGAACATCTGTGAGTATTGCATCACACATGTTCCAGCTTATGGTTGCCGATCATTGCACATATTTGAAGCATAGATGGGGACGAGTTTTGACTTCATTGAAATGTGAACACAGCCAAGGTCCGAAAGCAGCAATTGTGGACACATCAGGCCAAGATGGCAGATGCCTGCAATCGGTCACTTGCCGCCCTGTTGCAGACAGCCGTTTGAAAGCGGATTCACGCTTGTAAGATCGCACCTGATCATTCAGTGCCTGGCATCAGTTGACATGCACAAGCCACGAGGCAATGCCAAGTTGAGTGCGCAATGGACCGTGGCTGCCACTATTTTCACGTTAGCCCGGACGGGGACTGTGCTACATTCAGTCAGTGCGTACTGGAGATGGCAAGTGGAAAGGTTTTTCAGTACAGGATGCGTTCCTGAGCGACAAGCAGCAAAGCTTGTTGGAACGATACTGTTTGTATCTTCACCTGCTGGATTTCTTCTATTATGCAGGATTTTGGGATGGGGCATGCGCATGCAATTCCAATCACCAGGTGGTCTTCTCGGCGAGCATGCGCAGAGACCTCTGGAGAGTCCACGTGTCCCAGCACAAAGCTATCGATGCCAAGCTAGCGGGGCACTCGCAGCGGATAGAAACGACATGTTGCTTCTTTCTTTCAGGTCGGCCTTTTGTCTTGGGAACGATTCTCCATGGCAACAAGGCGTCCCATGACACGCCAGTGACAAGCACTTTCACCATCTGGCACTGCACAGAGCACAGCCGAGCTGGGAGCACCCCTCAACAATGTTGCTGTCCCATGCTCCTGCTGCTGCCACAGGTCTTGACCAACGACACGCACAACCCGAAGCTGAGCAGCAATTGGCGCGATGTGAGGGGATTCCAACACAAGACTTAATTTGTCTTATTACTGTCTGACATGATCCGGAGTGTGTTCGTCATGGACGCACCCAGCTGCCCCTTCTCTGCACCATGCAAACCACATCCGATCCTAGACCCTGAGACCAAGTTCACTGAGTCTCCCAGCTTAATGTTACTACCACTCATGAGGCTACACATGTTGGTCTTGAGTGATCCTGCTCCTTCCTGGCCATCAAAGATCCATGTAGACCGAGCCAGCTGATTTGCCTGAGATGTCCCATGGGTGGGGGGTCAGGTAAATGCGGCATGTTCAGCGTTTTCGTCAGGCAGTGGAACAACCTTCTCTACCGTCACGACCTGGGCTTGGGGGTGTACCCCCCATACCCAGAGGCTTGGGCAGTAGCGGCAGTGACAAGCAAGCCGCTTTGAACGTAGTGTGTCAGACAGTGGTGCAGGCGTCGGGCTATGCCATGTCATCTGACATTGCAGCTTTCCTGGCGAGCACCTAGCCCTGGCAAGTAGTTCTGTGTTGCTTGAATGTGGGATTCGTGTCTTCATTTCAAGTTGGATGTTCTGGCAGCGCTTTGCTGCTGAGGCGTTGGAACTGGTGCACTTTCTGATTTGAGCTGGAATGCATGGGCCATCGAGGCTGACTGGTATGACCAAAAGCAGTGCATTTCAGGCCTTGTGCTTCTGATTCTGCAGGACAGTGCGATGGGAACCATCTTGGCAGGCTGGTCCGGTTCTCCCCGTGATGCAAGTGCTCAGAATGCAGCTCCACCTTGAGGTCTGAAGTTCGACATGCTACAGCTGCCTGCTGAAATACGCGAGCATATTCGGGTGATCCGCGTAAGCAAGACCAGCTGATTTCATGGTCAAAGTTTGAGATCGCAGCCATACAAAACAGTGGGACTTGGACGTTCTTGGGGCAGTCTTAGAGGTGCTGCATGAGGGTCAACGAATCTGCGCCGTCGGTGTCAGGACATCGCGGTTGTTGTCCGGTGTCCAGCGCAAAGCATGACCAATGTGCCTTTGCCGCAATGCTTCTCAGTTCACCACGCATGTTAAGCGTGGGGTCAATGGTCGCTGCAAAGGACTCCTGCGAAGTGATCCTGGACGAGTCGGGCTGCTCAGCCACAGGCAGGTGCTCGTTGTCGGCCTGCCATTCTGAGGTGCCACATCATTGCCGATTCCATCGCATCCGTCTATGAGAACGTGTCCTGAAGAGAATTCATCCCAGGGGGCGACCACGTGTCACAGCTTGTCACAGTGTGAGATGTTCTATCACAGCGCGAGATGTTCTAGGCATTCACACTGGACAGATGGCACAGAGTTGTGAAATTAAGGTTGGTATTTACAAGCGACCTTTACAGGCCTTGCGCCGAGCTTCCGAAGCGTCTGAACGATTGATTTGACCTGTCTGTCTGCAGGCGAGGCTCAACACCCTTCACCTTACGGAGGACGGCTATCGCTGGGCAGAGGACCGTGAACATGGATGAGTGTTGAGCAAGAAGTGCAATTTTTGTCGCAGGGGCAGCTAGGCATGGTACCGGTCCACCGCCGAGCGGCACTGAAATTCCTCAAGTCTCTCGCCGGGGCCTTGTCACACACCTGACAGATGCACACTTCATGTGCTGGCTTCGTCGTATGCGGCCTAGGATCATTGAAACTCAGGTTAAGATGCTGCTCGGTGAGAGTGCTCTATGGGATGAGTCAATTGAGCATGACGAGGCGATAGACATTGATGGCCTGAGCATCGCGTGTGCTGCAGCTCGTGCCGGTTTTGCTTAGATCTTCAAAGATGTGCCGGACATGGGCGATCCCTGCAGTGTGCCGCAGGCCTTAACCTTTGCTATTGCCATGTGCTCGACAGCATGGGTAGGCTGTCATTCCTAGCCGCATCAGCTCCGCAGGAGCCTATCTCCGAAGCTGAATCTCTCCTACAGACCAGCAGGGATCGCAACGAGGCGTGAACCCCTGCAGCTGAGCTTGCAAGTTTGCCCGAGTAGCTTTCGGAAACGCTCTCCGAGTGTTGGAAGCAAGTCTTGACTCTGCCTGTCTCTGTGGTCATGTGATGAAGCCCCTTCTCGCCAGGCGACCATGCACACAGTGGGAAGATATACTTTCAAGTTTCATGCATCTCGCGCATGCTTGCATACACATTTTTGCAGAAACGGCGCGATGCCGGACCAATCCCACATCAAGGCGTTTTGCTATCCGGCACCCTGTTTGGTGGACGGTCCGAGTCGAGTGGACCAGAGCTCCTTCAGCTGCGGTCTCTGTGGACGGGGCCCACGATACACAAGTTGGCGAGGGCATCTGAATCTGCAGGGCAGGATACAACTCCATGTGCACACACACACATAAATATATATATATAGATATACACACACACATACACATACATACATACAAATACATACATACATGCATGCATACATACATACATATTATAACATACATACATACATACATACATACATACATACATACACAAACATACACAAATACGAGCACAGTGCCATACTTTCGCCATCATCTCTTGCCACATCCTATGTCTTCCGCCAGTTGAGAGTTGAGGTAAGCCCGCCCCTGCTTGCATGTCTTTGCTCCTTGCTCATGGCTCTAGCTGTCGACAGTCAAAAGCGCAACTCTAAGCCTGGAAGGCTGCTGAGGAAAGCGCCTTACCGGGAATTCCTCCCCCCTGTCCACCGTTGTCGATTGACCGGACTTGTTCGCGTGCGTTTCGCGTGGATTTTGCGTGAGGTGTTTCCGTGTCAAAATTTTGAGATTGCTACTAGCAAGGTGTTTCCACGCAGGCCCAACACATACCAGTACCTTTACAGCCAACTCCCGAGGCATCGACCTGCACAGTGGTCTCAGTAGAGTTTTTTCGTGCGTGCACTAATGGCCCTGCTGTGCATGAAATGTCAGTCCAACAGTCGTCGGGTGCCCTGCAAGCTCATTGCGCCAGCGCCGCAACGCCTGGGCTGCTCGCATTGCGCGGTACTTTGCCTACTGTGTGGATGGTGGCATCATGGGTGAGCGCTTCACGTTTCCCCTCCTCGCTTCTGGCTGAGCTTTCTGCAGGTTTTCAGCCACGATGCAGTTTTCAGTTTCCAATGCACTAAGATCCAAGCATTGGGTCGAGTGTCTTCTGCTGATGTCGACCGGCAGATGAAGGCGCGTCAGCAAGCCTGTCATCAATGCGCGTCATCAAAATCCACCCCGACTCACTGGCGGAAGTAGCTGCGGCCAGGAAGTAATCGACTTCGTGCTGCACGTGAACAAGCGGGATGCCGCAGCCCTTCTATGGTGCATTTCGTGTGTGATTCCTGCTTTCTGTTGCCTCCCGCTTCAGCACAATGCATGCAGCCGCTTTCCTAAGGGCTGGAAGTCGAATCTCTTCCTGGAAGAGAAGCCTGTAAGCTTGATCGCCATGACGAAGGCAAGTTAGATGTTTAGTGGTTCCGGCTGATGCTTGCCGGCATGCTGTGGCATGTAAGCAGTTTCTCTTCTTGGCCATCGAGGAATCTGAAGCCTTTGCAGAGTATTCCTTCAATGCCGAAGTCTCAAGCAGCGCAGATTGGGATCGTTTTCTTTGCTGCGGGACTGGTGCGATGCATGAACCCAGCTTGCACAAGCCTAGGACATCATCATGCGCCATCTCGTTTCAGAGGGCTATGTTGAGAGTGAGCTGCCGGGAGCCAAGCTACGCAGAATGATGCCGATAGTGTGGATGAATTGATCGTGTCTCGTGCTCGACGGTCTGCAGCATGATCGCTTCAGGAAGAAGCGACCCCCTGGTGCGGGTCTCGACTATGCCGACTTGCTCGTCGGGACCCCAAGTCCGGAGAGCAGGAGCAGACTGCAAAGCCGACAGCCCCGCTCTCCATGTCATACTGTCATATACGGTCTTCAGATGCGGGTCCTAGTGTATCTGAACCTAGGCACAGCTACTGACTGACGAAAGCGTCGGTTTGGGTCTTCGCTGCCTGCCTGCAGTGGCACGACACTTTCCCTGGTGATTGTCGACGGATATGAGCATTGCTAGGTTTGCGTACAGCATCGACAGAAAAGTACCTATTGTAAGCGACAGTGTCCGACGCATGGCGGAGGAACTATGGTTTGTCGGCACGTGTTGGACATGCAGTGACCTTACATTACGACATTTGCATTGGCACGTGCACAGCGGTTGTGCTGTGCTTGCCGAGGCTTGGTGGTACGAATGACCGGGAGGACACCAAGTTCGAGAAGACAGCAGCCCTGTTGCAGCAATGCCTTTGATGATAATGAATCGGGAGAGCCAGCTGCGACCGTCATCACATTGTACCAGTAGCCTCTTGTAAGAACACGAGGTGAAGCAGCTGGTTCCCGCTCTGGTCAAGGCGCCTTGCTCCTCTTTAGCTTTGAGATCTCTGAAGTTTTGCTGGCTTTGGGCACACACGAGCTCTTGCAGGTGATGGTCGGATCAAACCATATCCTGATGTCCTACGCGACTGCTGGGTGCTCAAGATCCAGCAAGTGTGTTCGTTCGTTGCCCGAGCTGAGGCGTCCCTGGTGAACCTTTCCTGCGGTCGACAGAACATGAAGCGAAGGGCCCAAGGAAATGATCCAAAAGCGGGGGGTTTAGGGGGCCCTTGGGGCGGCCCAGGCAGCTCCTAGTCTCGCACGGTGTCATTTCCATGTGTGGCTGGGCCGCATCTATGTTGCTCGAAACCCAGCATCTTCCGACCTTTCTCTCAGTGCAGGTGTGAAGCAGTTGAAGACGAAGCATGACGAGCTCACATTGTACACGTCGCGCCCCGTTTTAGTCACGATGTGAAAGAGACGCCCTTTGAAGTTCTGCCAAGACTTTTCCTTCTGGTCAACCTCACGAAGACGCCTCACCACAGCTGCTAGCCCAAGCTTGGTATTCAAAAGCTTTGCAATGAGTATGCCATGCGACCACAGGATACATCGTGGTGCGAGAGGCGCGGCTGCCGAAGTGGCTCCAAATTCATGCGAGATCCTTCAAAGGTCTGACACTAGCTCTGGCAGGGTGGCGTGCCCTTGTTGGTGGACATCTTGACATCTTCCTACCAGCCATCCATCTGAAGGGTGGTTCAAGCCGCCGATGGTTAATTTCATGCAGTGATTTTGGATAGTTGATGTTGCATTGATTGTGATATTGGGGGGATGCAGAGACAAGGAACCTGCGGAAGCAGCGCATTCTGGCAGAGGCTGGAGCAGCAAATGCTCGCAGGTGCGGAAGACTGTTCGGGCGCTCGAGGTAGCCAGCGTGCTGGGTCAGCTTTGCAACGATCCTGAGACTCGCCTGTGGCTCAACATGTCCCCTCCATGCAAAACCCGTTCAGGCCACTCACGTCTGCACCCGAGGCAGCCTGATTACAGAAAGCTTCCCGGTTGTCCCGTGTTTGCTTTGGGTGTGGGCCTCGGCCGCGCTTTCTGTCTGAAAGGCTTGCGGATTTAGGAGGGTACTCGATTCACGTTGCCATGTGTTTGAAGTCGAAGGCCATGAGCCTACCTCAGGTAAACGATGCGGCACAGCCGAACACGAAGCTGAAGTCAAAGCTTTTGTTTGCCCTGCGGCAGCGGGGTGCTCGGGGTCGGGGTCGTTTCCAGTCGATTGGATCAGTTGCCCAATACAAACTCTGCTCTGACATCATAAGGCTTTGCCTGTTGGGACAGAACAAGCTCAAGGTGTCGTGCGATTGCCTTGAGCTGTGGGCCGTTGGGCTTGCTGTTTGTGTAAGAGAAGACGAGCAGCCTGACACTGTAAACGCAAATACGAATACCAACTGCCCGGAAACAGGGAGCATCATGTAAATGTCTGCGGACTACTTTCGGACATATTAAAAGTGTTTTGTTGTATCGCGCACAGTCTTGTCATTCTTCGGTTGTCGACACGCCTAAAGTGAGATGATTGAGTTTCTTGCGCAGCTTTCCAGAGTCCTGTCAGGCGTCGTGTTCCTAGTTACCTCAGAGCGCATCGGACCTATTGCTGCCCTCCTAGTCTACTGCATTCAACTGCATTCTCTTTCCTGCCGGTGGTGACTCGGAAGCGGCTTTTGTGACTTGCAGCTGCGGCTTCCAGAGCCAAGGAGTCAATGCTCTTTTGGTGTCCCAAGCTCCCCAAGCAATGTGGCAACATGTGGCAACGCAATGGAGTTCTTACGTCTACAGGTTTTGGGATGGTGATGGCCCGAGGGGCGCCTGCTGCGGTCCTGCAAGGTCCCGTCAGCCCGACACGCCGAGTTCGTTGTAAAATCCAATACTTGGGCGCTGCCACAGTGCTGTCTGCACATTGTGGGATCAGGGGTGGAAATCCCGCTCCCACCACAGTCCTGTGCCTGTTTTGGCCTTCAGGTCAGTCGAAGTCGCTCGAGGTCAGACTGGCTCCTCGGATCTCCTTCGTAGTTTGGTAGGAACCTCCCAAAAGTCTTTTTACTGCCGCAGTCCCGTGCATACTTCGGGGGTGCGACTGGTGTTCGTGCCAAAGTCCGGTGTGTGCTTTGCGGTACCAATGGTGCCCCGCCATTGCGGCTTGCATTTGACTTGCGGTGATCTTGTCAGCTTCAGGAAGCTTGCTGGACAGGTGGGTCCCCACATCATCCCCGTGATGCTCGAGGAGCTTGCGTTAGCGAACTGGGCCAACGAGGAGTGTCATCTCCTTAGAGATGGATCTTGTGCAGGGCTTGTGATGAAGCTTCACGGTCAACTCACAGGTCGTGGCGTAGTTTGAATGAAGCAGAGTCCCTACTCAGCGAATTTTCCAGACACGCCAACAGATAGTGTGTAGTCTACGTAAAGAGTCGTGGCGTGTCTCGGCATTGCAGGATCAGGCAGGATCCAGGAACAGGGTTTTCCACAGCCAATGCGACAACAGTGACTACAGGTGCAACAAATTTGGTCCTGCTGCTCGTGAGCCTGGCAAGCGTGAATACCAATGCAGCATTCTCGGCGTTGTTTCCAAATCTGCTTGAATGTCATCGGTATATCACACGTCATGCAAGGCTGTCATGAAATCTTGCATCCCAGAAGCCAGATCTGACCTGGTGTGCTCGCAGGCCCTTCTCATGGCGGATCAGGTCCGCATGATGCAGCTTCAGCGAGTGCACCGTGTGCCGGTATGCCATGCAGCCGGCGATCGTTCACCCTAAGAACACACACAGCATACTCACCTGCCGGTCAGATCAAAGCCTCGCTGGAAACCTGCGGTATTCTCAAAGATGGTTTGCCGGCAGAGTCCTCAGTTGGATCTGTTGAGAGTGGCGAGATCTTGCAGAAGTACATGGGAGGCAGAATTGAGTTGTTGTGGTTCCAGAGGCCAAGAACAACAAGCTGGCGAACCACCTCTGGCCCAAGGACACGCTGGCTGCATTCGAAAATCTCATTGCGTAGCCTGCGAGTTCCAGGTTGAAGCCTTGCTGATTCGCATTGGCGACGCGAGAGCTGCCCAGGGTGACTTTTAGATGGAATTTAGCCTGCAAAGAACAGGATGCATGCTAGCTCAACGCTGTAGGAATCTCTGGCCCGTAGTGATCGCCGTGGCATGTCAAAAGCAGGAAGAAGCAATGGCTTTGAAGATGCATGCTAGTCGTGAATGCCACAGCAACCGGATCCGGCCATCGTAATGTTTGTAGGAGGTAGACGAGGCAACATGTGCATAATGTCATTTGCCAGCGCAAGCTTCTTCGGCAAAATGTCGATGGAGGCGATGCTAGAGCATGGAAGCGAGGTTCTTTCGAGAGTCTGGCCAAAAGGCCTTGCGACCTGTGACAGAAGTGATTTGGTGAAGCACGACGTGCGCCAGCATGAGGTTAGGGTGCATTTGGGCAATTGCTCTTGGACTTCGGGAACAGTCAGGGGTGCTACAGAGTTCGGCTGTTCAGTTGCGATTCCCCCACATTCTGTGCGGGTTGCTGTCAGCAAGCACATGCACATGCGGCTATTGTTTTCGACAAGTCCGCACCTCCTCAACACTGTGCCTCGCAGCCACAGTTGCAGAATATTCACCCACCGCATACCTGTAAAGCGTCTATCTTGCCGAACATGAAATTGCAGCGGAGACGTTCCCCGTTCCCAGATTCCATTGCAGTTCCGCAGCGTCATTGAACCATGGGAGCAGTCCATGCAGTGACCCCGCCCCAGACTGTCTGCTTTCTGCGCGAGGCTGTTAAGGGTGGTGTGCTTAGGTCTTAGGTTTGAGTTTTGCGAGGTCCCTGAAGTACGTCGGGCTTGCTGGTATGGCGGCGACTGCTGCTTTGCGCTCAGAAATGCAAGCAATAACACGCGGAAGTCTGAGCCAAGCGGGAAGACGAGGCCCGAATGATAACGCCCAGTGATGTGGACCGCTGGCTCAGCGTGGACGACCCTGACTGGTGCCTCTGCTGCCCAGTTGTTTCGGCCCTTGTGGGGTCCATTGACCCACAAAGCACGTTTTCTTTGAGACCAGCAGCAGTTCAACAAATTCCCTAGCGCAGACAGGGCCCTCGAACTCGGATAGCCACTCTCATTCGGTGCTGAGGGCCAGCATCTGCAACATTCAGCTGCCTGTGGCCCAGTCGACAAGTGAAGTGCATCAGCTACATGGCAGCCAACTTTTGAGAATTTGCCAGCGTGATTGTCAGCTGATCTGAAGGCTTATGGGGTTGTATCTCTACAACGTGAGCTTCATAAATGCAGTCATTGCGCTCCTCTTTAACTTGCGACTAGGTTGGGCACCGAAGGGCGATTAAGAAGGTTCATCACAAGTTTGCATCCCGGCCCACCAGGTATGAGCATTTTGGGAAAGGACCCTGCGCGCGACCCAATTCATCGAATCTGTAAGAGATCTCGCAGCGACAACAGAGCTGTGGTCGTGCTTGATGCGTCTTCGAGGTTTCGGGCTCTGTCCCACTTTGGCAGCTTGATGCAAGGAGACCTCTGAAAACTCTCGTGCCAATGTGTGACTGTCAAGGGACGTCTGGCTTGCCTAAGGTCTTACGTGCTCTTCTTTGGCTTCCACGGGCCAACATTTCTCTACACGAAGGTGGAATCGAAAGTTGCCTCAGTAGTTGTGTGCGGTCAGTCGCAAGCACAGTTTAACTACTCTCGTGAGTGAATCAAGCTTGTTGCTGGCTGGGCACAGTGTATCCAAAACCCTGGCAAGATCCAGCGAGAGCGCGACCGCAAAAGCGGTGTGGCGCCGGCTGATGAAGTCGAGCAGCTTGACAACATTCAGTTGGAGCGCTCCAGCACCCCTTTATGCTTGTGTAGTGTATCATCATGTATCATCCCTCCGCATCTGGCACTGCGTGCTGTTGAACTGCAGGCCTGGATGGTGGGTTGGTGGCCGCTACAGCAACGAGCACATCGGGCCTGTGTTGTTTAAAGAGGATGCATGGCAGATGTGTTTACCTGTGCGGATATGAGTGGGCCAAGGCTCGGCAAGCGTTGGGAGCTGAACTCAGATCCGTGGTTGTTGTTGTTGTTGCCTTTTTTGCTGTCACGCCGTCGCAGATTCCCATACTCTGCATGGCAGCGAGGCCGGAAACATTGACCTGACCTGCGAGTTTCCAGAGACTTCTACTCAGGCCAGAGCTTGTGTCGATGCAGAAAGTAGCTGCGGAAAGGCCCGCTCTGAGTCGCCGGCAGGACAGGTACCTGCTGATTGAGTGCTGGGATGGCGTGCTCTCCTTGGCCTGGCCAAGCTTCGCCGGCTCGGCTCCTTTTGCTCCTCTGAGGTGCCACCGACACCCGATCAGCTTGAGGAGACGAGCCTGCTATCGCCTGCTCCTTTCCCATAGGCCTAAGCGACGTCAGGAAGCGGCACAGTTCGCTGTCGCTGCGCACGAGCGTGGAGATGCTGGGCTCTCTGAGTTGTCAGATGCTGTATAGGGCTTGTGCGATTCATGAGTGCCCTGCCCTGCTTGTGTGCCTCTCCAGGTGCTAGTTCACTGCGCTCACGGCCGTGGGCGGTCAACAACCACTCTCTGTGCCTGTGAAGCGCCCAGTGTCAGCTCATGCCTTTTCCTTTACATCTCATGCGTCTGATTCTGCATCTTTGATCGCGAACCAAAGTCCGCAAGCCTACGTGTCCAGGCTTAGTCCGCGCTGGTCTCTACCCCACCTGGGAGGAAGCGGACTCTACTGAAACTGAGGCTTGCCACGAGTACGTGACTATGCTTGACTGACGTCTGCAGGAGGCTTTCCACGCCATCAAGCAAAAGCGCGGGAGCAGAGCGCGAGTCAGTGCTGGCTCCGTCGGATGTGCTTTGGCTCAGGCGGCGGGTGGTAAAGCTGAATCGATCGATGCGCATGGCCGGAGCCCTGGATCCTGCGACAAGTTGACCTTGCGCTCGGTGGGGATCCGAGGCCTTGACAGAATGGCAGGCAAAGTACAGCAGCAAGGTCAAATAGTTTGGGCGCAAATGAGAAAGTTCGGTGCAGAAGCGGCGCCCTGCTGAATCCATAGCTCCGCTTTGAATTCCGACTCCAAAGGGCGGTGGCATCCCTTGCCCGTCATTGCAGTATCATGCAACTGGTTTTCACATCATGAGCTAATGAGGCAGCTCGACTAAGCACTTGCACAGGAACCTCTGCAGCACGAGACTTCACGACTCGCTCTGTACAGACTGTCGCATACATGTAGCTCTCGATCCTGGTGCCTAAGTGCAGACATGACGCACCAGAATGGCTGCGCGAAGCTGCAGATGCAGCTGAGCAGAAGACGGGAGAACCGCAAGACTTTACACTTCGGTGAGAAGCATCTGAAGCATTGGATCGTGAAGATATTGGAGATGTGTGAACAAGGACATGTCACGTCTGCCCTCGGGCCGGCTTCATTCACATTGTCCTTGGCTCGAAGACGGCTTGGGTTTCCCAGGTGCCCGCCGTCTCGAGGCAGCAGCTCATTCTGCGCTCATACGGCTTCTGATCACGTGCAGCCTGCAGGTGGCACGGGGATGCAGTAGCCCTGGTGTCCGTCTGCTGGATGCGGTGAGGCAATTGGGGCTTTTACATGCGATTCCGATGGCTTCCGATTGAGTCCGATCTCAATACTTTACTAGTTTGGACAGCGCTTGAAACACAGGGCAAAGCAAGGTGGTTTCAGGAAGCCTTGCCAGAGCCTTGCCAGAGTCACTATTGAAGGGCTCTTGGAAGGCATTTGCACTTGGTGCAGGGGCCTAGCAAGCTTGGCAGATCATGGTAGCCTTCCAGGCTCTGCGATATCCCTGGCCATTCGCCATTCCGTGTCAATGAGGCACTTGCGCACAGAAGAATGACATGGAATGTCACTTGCAAGGGCTGCGTGGGTGTGCGATACTGACAAAGGACCGCTTGCAGGGACAATAGCTGGGCCTACCTGGCAGGTTTCAAGACACCAGGCTGCGCTGGCTTGGTGTCGGCCAAAGATGCATGTGATTCAGTAGCTGAAACATGCCTGTCACAGAACAGCGTTACAGGGCATCAGGTTTTGGCATCAGAGCGACGAAAATCTACCGGAGCGGGCACTTATCCGAGGATTGCTCTTTCTGTTGAGGATAGCTCGTTGCTTCTCTTTCAATTGCTACGTTTTCGCTGTGATAGCATTGAGGGTCTTCTGCAGTCTGGTGTCGCAGATGTGCGGGACTGTGTGGGCCGATTAGGCCGAGTACTGTTCGCTCTTCTTTGCTTAGCAGTCTGATTCATGATATCTTCGAGACATGTTGAGAGAGACTCTTTTTTCTGTGGCATTTCTTTTGCCGAGGTGTGCTGGCTTTGTTTGTCAATGCAAACGCGAGCCAGCATACATTGCGGCATTTACGACATCGCACTAGACTCGACCCCAGGGGTTCTTGCTGTGAGTCGCAGATATGTAGTTGAATTGATCTTGACGGAAGCTTTCAGACCTTCTAGGCACTGCTCTGCCAGAGCTGCAGAAAGGTGCCCTTTGTCTCTGCCGAAGCTGTTGTTAGATCCATCTCCATGGTCTGCGCTTGTAGCAGCGAACTTATATTGGAAGTCGTTGGTGGACAGGCAGGCACGTTGTTGTGAACGGGCTCACCCACTCGGCAGCTCAGATGGGAGGGTCAGAAGCAGTACGGCCAAGATCTTGTTGCCGAGACGAATGCCAGTACGGTATCGCTCACATGAGGTAGAGCTCAACGGCCAAGAGGCTGTCGTGGAGGGCTACGATGTGGCCTCTGCCAGGAGCAATTGCTTGCTACTTTCTGTTGTTTCCCTGCCGCTGTTCGCTGTGGCTTTGATTGTACTCCTTCATGGCACATGCTTCTGCCATCATGGAAAAATATGCCCGGCAGAGTGACAGTGGCGCGAAGTCGCGGCCCAAAGTAGGCACCGCACAGGCGGGAGGACGAGTTTGGGAGGCGGCATCGGGCGAGACTATGGCGGGAAAACTGTCAGACCATGTCGTCGCACCCAACAATGCCTGTGCGCGTGCGATCGCGAACTTTGAAATGTGTCCAACTGCCCTCAGAAAGGCGTGATCGAGGGCCAAAAAAGGAGCACGCGACTCGCGCCACAGCCGGAGCTGATCGCTCATGGCATGCACTCGTGCTCCACAGAAACCATGGAAGCTCCAAGGGTGCCAGCCCTCTGTCGTCGTCAGATCCCTGCTGTGCGTCAGGTATGTGCTCCGCATGGCGTCAGGTGCGTACCGCAAGGCCTAGTGTGCGAGGGTATGGCAGAGTAGTGCAGCTTTAACATGGCAGCTGAATTCCTTCAGCAGCATCAACCGGTAGGTTGTCAGATTTTCCTATGCAGCAGGTCAGACAAGAACATGTCAGTGCCTCTTCGAACTCGAACTCGGCTGTGAAGACGGCACACAGCTCAGCAGCTGAAGCATCATGCATCTCATTTTTGTCATGCTGCTGGGTTCGTGCTGAGTCGCGCCTCAGGAGTCACCTTGTGCGATGGAAGCTGGGGCCGGCTTTACCGTGGGTTCCCAGGCGCGGCATGCGAACGAGACTGTCGCATTGTCGGCCTTTCGCGACGTGGTCTCCGCTCAGTTCAAACCAAGAGAACAACAAAACAAGCTTTCACCTGCGGAAGCGGATGGACGGATCCACTGCATGACCAAAGTGCCGTAAGACCCGAGCACCCGAACAGATGCAGAGGCAGATCTGGCCGAATGTGATTGTTTGAACTCCGTCGGATCCCAAGTGTCTACCAGAACACGAATCTCACTTTCAATCCTACATCCCGTCACGTCGTCTTGTATCCAGGCGCTGCAGTTTATCGGCAATGCTGCCTTGTCAGGTTGTTGAAACGGCACTGTCCTGTTTGGGTGCGTCTTTGAAGGTGCAGTCCTCTTAGTCCTCTTGTCTCCCTTAGAGGTTATGTCGCGAGTTCCAAGCATCACCGTAAAGCTGTTTGAAGAACAAGCTTAGCCCCACACCTCCCATGTACCTTACACATCCCAAAGCCGTGCAGAGAAGTACTCAGCACTCCTGAGTAGGAGGCAGCAGAAGTGAACGAATAGTGCGAAGGTGGATGCAAATGGAAGCCTACAAAATTATGTTGAGCCGTCCTGACAAGCTAGTTCATTGATGGGCTTGAGAAGGTTCTGTGCCGCAAAGATCCTGCTCGAGTTTCGCTCCTACCGACACCAATGTTTCGATCGATACCTCTTTTGATTCTGTGTGTCTCGGCGGATGACTTGTCATGCGCTCTCACACTGAATGCCACTGGTTCAAAGAAGAAGGAATTGGAACCACTGGAGCCTTTCAACTGGGATGACCGCTGGTTGGAGTCGTACAAGGACCAAATGTACACCCTGGGTATCAAATCCACGACAGCCAAGCTTGCAGAACTTGCGGTGGGGGGAATTTGGGGTGAGTTTGTCAGCCTGTTTATCGGCATCTTCTTTCCACCGCCAGGGCATAAGCAGAGTTTGGCCTTGCTGAAGATAGTGCAGAAATGGACGGAAAAATATGTCGGGAAGCAGCAAGCAGCCTTGGTGAGAGACCTTGCAGAGGCAAGTTTGGACACGGCCAAAAACACTCTCGAGAAGCAGTACGAGCCACCGTCTGCGGAGTTGCTGGCAGCAGTAGAAGTAGCCAAGAAGTATACTCCTCGCCCCTTCCGTCGCCCGCCTGTCTTTCCTGAACAAGCTTGGTCACAAGCAGAACAAGCCTCCAGAGGGCATGGAGCTTTGCAGATCAGGCTAAGAACATGATCTTGAGGGGTGGCTCACAAATCCCGGAGAACACTTCGCGAGCGCAAGGGATCCCCACCTATATCGCGGCCACAAGCCTCGCCACGTCCTTGCGCCGGCAACTCTACAACCTGACCCTGCTGAGGGACACGTGGCCACACCCCTGGCAGGGATCTTCGCGCCGCGCTGACAGCATCGTCAAGGAGATGAAGGAGCAGTACAAGCATGACAGCCAGGAGCTCAGAAGCTTGTTGATTGAGGCTTGGAAGCAATGGAGATTCTCCCAATTCACCTTCACCTTCGACGAGTCGAGACGGAGAACCGCAGCGGCACAGGGCCGGCTTCGAGACAAGATCTTGGACTGGACGTTTGTCTATTATGGACAGGCAGGCATTGATCGGAGCTACGGAGAGCGCACTGAAACGCAGCACCAGCGGTACTTGTTTGCAGATGAGTTGGTACCAATGATCAAGCCCTTCCTCTTACTGCAACGCGTGGTGCCAGGTTGGGAATCGAGGGCATTGTCCAGGGGTCCACTTCCAGAGAAGTTGACTATCGGGCCGTGGTCCTCGCTCAACGCTGGCAGTCGCGGTAACAACGCTGCGAACCCTCCCTGGGCAGATCAAGAAGTGCCAGGCCCGAGGCCCAAGGGGAACGTCTTGGTGACCTCTGGTGGAACGATGCGATCGGACGGGCGTTATGACAAGACCCGCGAGCCCATGATTTCACAGCTCACCTTCTATCAAAGTCCGGCAGCGAAGCTGCCGCAATGGCTGGATGGAAATGAAACTCCCTTGTACCATAAGGCGAGGATGCCCCGTTCTACTTGCGGCATTGATGCGACCTATTACCACGAGGGCATAGCCCAGTTCGTGGCCGTGAACGCCAAGAATGAGTCTGAGGTGTGGATGGGGCATCATCTCCCCACGTCCTCTTGTCACGGAGGCTACTGTAAGGCCTTGACCACAGGCACCGGCCTCTGCGGACTACATTTGGCATGGTATTTCAAAGATCCAAAGCTCCGCTACCACAAGCGGCCAAGCCTTCGAGATGGAATTCATCTTCTCCCCAGAAGTGTAGCACACTATCAGAAGCATCGTCTCCGCCCGAGTGTGGCGAGCGATTGTTCCAAAAGATAAAGGGGTCCATTTGGTTTACCTCGATATATATGTTTTGTTGTTTTTAGATTTTGATCGGGAAAGAAAAAGGAAGATATTTATAATTTGAATTAAAAACAAAAGATGAGAGCATATTATCTCTATTTTCATGACGGATTGGAGAAGATATGTCTTAAGTTTATAACTATATTTGGTAAAGATTTTATTCTAATTAATTTCGTTTTTAATTTGATATTTAATAGGGTTGCGAAAATTGGCGGAGGAATTGCGGAGATTTGTTTTTAGGAAGTTTTGTTTTGGCCAGTTCGATTTAAGTTATTTTTGTATTTACGGTTTCGGGTTTAGGGTTTAGGGTCTAGGGTTTAGCAGCTCCGGATCGAGCAGTTTTATAGTAGAGTTATATTCACGATTCAGTCATAATACCCACCCACCCANNCATTGGACACATAAACAATTCCTTTACTCACACCAATGAGTCTCGTTCACAGTTACGCTTCATTCATTTTCAACACTTTAACGAGATCCAGTGGGCTGAACCGTAGAGCCCTGAACCCTAGAGCCTTAAACCCTAGAGCCTTTAACTGTTGCAGTTGTATCTGCTCCGTTTCCGGTCCAGGTGCGATTGCACGACCTGCATTCGCCCGGAGCGGCGGAGCTCAACGGCGAACTGGGCTTGGTGCGCTGCTTCAGCGCCGCCACCGGACGCTACACCGTGGAGCTCTCCGATGGTGCCTCCGGCTGCCTCGGGCTTCAGGGGGGAAGGCATGACCAAAGCATATCCAAGCACCGTTCCTGAATAACTACGAGATGCATGACATCGTTCTCTTGTCGCATGGTTGCAGCCGCGTTGCAGTTAGGCCAATTGCAAGTGAACGCCTGCCATCCTTGTTGAAACAGGCAATCCGCATACCGTCACATACCCAGGGTCCACAGCAGCTCACAAGCTAGTCAAACCCCAGGCTTCCTGACCCTGTGACTTACCGGGTGACATCTTTCGAATCGCGTGAATTGATGTTTACAGAACGGGAGAACGGAATGAGCTTCCCCGTTTCCGTTGATGGCTGATGCAGCTGATGGCGAGGGAGGCGGGAATCTGGAAGGAAAGAGATTTCCTTTTGCATCCTGGAGCTGGAGAGGCGCTGATGGCGGGCCTTCGCCGGTCGGGACCTTCAGCTTCGGTCTTGGACCCTTGCATGGAATGTTCTGGCTCTCTAAGGAGGAGCTTCTGCGCAAAGAAAAAGAAGCCGGTGCCACATGGGACGGGCTGGTTGCTCCAAGTCCAAGCACTGATCTTGATCGCATGGCCTGCCTGCCTGCTGGCTCAGATGGTGCTCCAGCGCATTGCATGCTCTCTCGTAGCCTCGCACCAGCAGAGCGGCAACTACAACCCCTGCATCCCTTTACGATGCTTCGCAGAGGCACAATGTGGTTCACGGTCCAGACGCCCAGACCCAATCCACAGCAAGCACAGACGGCCAGAACTCGGTGCATGGGGCCTCTGCGAAACAACAATTTGGTCTTTTGCTTTGCCCGATGTTGACTTCCATTGTCAGATTTGCCTGCTGACTTCATCAGGAGCTCTTTTGCCAACTGCAGAGTCAGCGCAGCTTGTTGAGTGGTGTTCAAAGGACCGTGCTTTTGAGCACAAGCCTGTGCCTAGGAGATAGATGGCATCAATACTTGGTCTCGACATCGAGGAACTCGCTGCTGCAATCCGAGAGCAGCACTTCTCAGCGCAGCAAGTGCTCCAAGCGTACAGAGCTCGGGCTGATCCTTGGCGATGATTCCCATGGTGCAAGATTGCAGCATGCAGCGGAGATCCTGGCAACTAAGGAGGAGATCCACCATGCTTGCAATGCGGTGGCATTCTGGATTCCGGATGCAGAGCTCGAAGCATGCAAGGCACGTCGTCATCCCGTCCCGTTAAACCATTAAAGAATGACATAAATCATTGCAAATCCAATGTATCTCATGCTCAGGCAGACGAATACCTTGAACGCACTGGCGAAGTCCTCGGCCCCTTGCACGGGATCCCCTTCACTGTCAAGGCCGGCGTCCGGAGATTTCCCCGCTTCTGCAATCTGCTGCTTTTGCTTTGGTTTCCTTTGGTTGCTGCTTGGATCAGGACCACGTAGACGTGGCAGGCGTGCCTTTGACCTATGGCACGAAGACGCTCAAAAGGTGGCCTGCCTGCAGCAGGCCGCAACCTCGTTGCAGGCTTGCTGGAGCTAGTTGCGAGGCATGGGCTGAAAAGCCCGAGCGATCACAACTTGGTTGCCGTGCTGCGAGTCGCTTGGGGCAGTAACTCGTTGGAATTGCAACATATCTGGGATGTGCTTCATGTATAGCATCGTGAATCAGGCTTTGGGTGCAATTCCTTTTGCAAAGTCGACAATGACTCAGCTTGGGATGTCGCAGCTCGGCCCGACGTGAAGAGTGAAGATACCTTTGCCACCACTTGTCCGAAGAGTTGGATGTGATGATTGCACTCTAAGTATTGGCGGCGGGAGCCCTGCCCATGGCGACACGCTCAACCCCTGGGACACTCGGCGTACCTCCGGCGGCAGCAGTTCGGGGGAGGGTGCTTTGCGACTCGGCGCATTATGGTCGCATACAAAGTTGCAGAGGGTTCCAGTCGGACAGGATTTTTCTGCTTCTTGCTCTGCCTGGTCTCAGGGTAGGCGGTGGAGCTTCGCCATTTGGCATCGGTGCCTTGGATCGCAACCAAGAGTCGGCCATTGATCTACTTCAACCCATGGTGCGCGGAACCCTTTTTTCAGGTACTGATGTGGGTGGGTCTGTCCGGATACCGTCGGCCTACTGCGGAATCTCTGCCTTGAAGCCCACTCTGGGCCGGCTCGCAGCAGATTCGGCAAATCTAGAATTCGTTTTGCATAATTCTTGGCAATGTGGATGCGCCACTGTGGCACTGACACACAATCGCTTGGCTTCTCTGTTGTGCGAAGTTAGTGCAGTTGCTGAAGCTGAGATTGACTGTACTCGCCCTGGGGAGCACTTCACGCCATATACGCTTGGTCTCATGGCAAGATCTGCCAAGGAGCTCCAAAGGGGCCAGTGACTGAGCGAGTAGTGACTCAGTGGTTCACCTCTGCCACGCTGTGCAAAAGGACCTGGCGATGCTGCACTCGGTGCTCTTCTCCGAATCTTTGTCACGGGGTGACCCTCGATTGGCCCCAATTTCCTTCGACAATCGCGAGCTGCTTCTTCGCAATCTTCGCATCATTGTCAAAAATTACCATCTATCCATGACAGATTCCACCATCAACCTTAGCACAGGGACATTTGCCATCCTGTCGCATAAAGTCGTCTGCACGTTCGTTTGCGATGGCTGTTGAAACGTGGCCTCCCTAAGACTTGTTAGACTCTCGCGCTTGCTTCCGAGGTTCCGTTCCTCCAGGCCCAATCTGTGTCGCTTTAGGCGGTGTTCTGCCAGTGCAGATTGAAACACCAAGCGACATGCAACAATGCATTCTTGTTCTCCCATGTTGTAGCCGGACTTGTGACGATGCATACGGTCTGCGGGACGAGCATGGCTTGTCGCAGGAAATTGCGCATTGGCCACTTTTCAGAGGACAGGAATGAACCTGCATGTGCAGCTTGAAACGACCAGATGAGTCCATCCTACCAGATACGCAGACGCGCACGCCCGCACGCACGCACGCA